AGACAGCACCACACAATGTCAGTATGTTAGAGCAGGTTTAGCGTTGGTGGGTTGCCCAGCGCGGCGCTTCGTAGACCGGGATGCCCTTGGCTTTGGGCAGTGGCGGGCGGCCGAGGATGATGTCGGCAGCCTTTTCGGCAATCATGATCGTCGGTGCGTTGAGGTTGCCGCTCACAATGTTGGGCATGATCGAGGCGTCGACGATGCGCAGATTCTGGAGCCCGTGTACGCGACACTGTGGGTCGACGACCGTCGTCCGCGTGTCGGTACCCATGCGGTTTGTGCACGACGGGTGGTACGCGCTCTCGGTATGGTTTCGTACCCACGCATCGATGGCCGCATGTTCGCTGTCGCCAAAGAGGCGGTTGGGCGAGAGCGGTTCACCGCGGAACGGGTCCATGGCCTTTTGCTGGAACAGCTCCTGCGTCAAAAGCACTGCGTTGCGAATGTCGTCGACGTCCTCGCGCGTCGAGAGGTATCGCGGGTCGATGCGCGGCGGCTGCCGCGGGTCGCGCGACTGCAGCGTGAGCTCGCCGCGGCTCGTCGCCCGCATCGGGCTGCAGTGCGCCTGCATCGCATGGACAGGACCTGGCGTGAGCTGACCGGTGAGTGCGCCGGGTAAAAAGTGGTATTGCAAATCGGGCTGGCGTAATCCCGGGCGACTAGTCATTCCATACGTTAGTCTATACCATGTGAACGAGGTCAAGGTGTACCTGCGAATAAAGCCGCCCGATTCGAGGTGCGCAGACGCGCCTTGCCCCGAGCGCTGGAAAAGCCACTGTAGCGCAATCGCGACCATGTTGTGCGGGTACTTCCTAGAGAGGCAGAATTATAGTCGACAGTGATGATGGTAGTGTATACCATGAGGCGTTGTGTAGCGTAATGGGCTTGGTGCACTGGAACTGAACGTACATGTCCAAGTGATCTTCCATGTGCTGGCCCACGGAGGCAATGTTGGCGACAACAGGAATGTCGTGGGCACGCAAGGCATCCGCGGGTCCAATGCCCGAGAGCAGCAGCGTCTGCGGCGAGTTGATAGCGCCGCCACACAGAATGACCTAGTTCACCGTAGGTCGAGCCAACATGCATGTTCGCAGCTACCTCCTTCTCGGCCGTGTACGTGGTGAGGTTGCCGCTGGCGTCCGACACCTCGACGCCCGTCGCTGACGTACCGTTCAAAAGCACGCGATGCACAAGCGCCTCGGTGATGATGTGCAGCGACGATCGCTCTCGGACGATCGGGTGCAGGTACGCGGCCGACGCGCTCCAGCGGTTGCCCTTGTAGATCGTACTGTCCATCCAGCCAAAGCCTTCTTGCTGAAACCCGTTCATGTCGTCTGTGAACGGGTACCCTGCATCGATGCCGGCGTCAATGAAGGCCTTGAAGAGCACTTGGTCTTTCTGCGTGCCACGGGTCACGTGCAGTGGGCCGTGGCCACCCCGGTACGCGTCTTCGCCGAGCTCGTGCGCTTGCGCCTTCTTAAAGTACGGCAAACAGTCTTCGTACGACCAGCCTGTCGCGCCGCTGCGCGCCCAGTCGTCGTAGTCGTGGGCGTGGCCGCGAATGTATACCATTGCGTTGAGCGACGACGAGCCGCCGAGGACGCGGCCGCGGGGCCACGCAAGTCGGCGGTTGTTGACGTGCTCTTGCGGCTCTGTCATGTACGCCCAGTTGTAGCGTGCGTCCGCCAGATTGAACGTCAACGCCGCAGGCATCTTCATCTTCCACGAGTCCCAATGCCCCTTGTCGCTCTTGCCAGCTTCGAGCAGTAGCACCGAGTGGTCCTTGGAGAGGCGGTTCGCAAGGACGCTGCCCGCCGAGCCGCCGCCAACGATGATGTACTCGGCACGCGACGGCGCCGCCTTGGCTCGCCCCAGCCACCGTGCCAACATGCGACGAAAATATCGAATGCCCCCTGCTTTCCGATTGGACGGCGGCTTATCCGGATGACTAAGATCCCGCCAACTTCAACTTGCCGGGTCGATTGATTCGCAGCTGGCTTCGGCCGTCGTCGCTGTTTCGCCGTGGCATGATGGTACGCAGAGGCGCTGCCCGCCCACACAAGTCGTAGCAAGCTTGGAAAGTGCATGGACAGGCCACACAGCCGGGTATGGACCCGATATGATGCTGCATGAGTGCCCGAAGCCAAGGCGCGTCTTGCCTCGCCTGCGCCAACGGGCTGCGAACGCTGGCTCACATTTCGTCGAGCGGGAAGACGTAGTCGACGCAGTCTCCTTTGTCAAACGCACAAGCCGGTGTGAAGCAGGGCAGGTTGCATTGGCCGTTGCCGATCTGGTAGTCGTGGCAGCCCACGTTGCAGGCGTGGCCGCAGATTTGGTCGGCGCCAATGGCCACAATATTGCGCTCGATCGGCGAGAGAGCCCACGAAGCGTGGCGCGACGCGTTATACATAAGGAGTTGGTTGCAAAATGGCGTATCGCGGAGGTTCAACCGCGTCGACACGAGCAAGTCGAAGGACAAATTGGCCGGGACCGCATGAATCGGGTTGCCGCCCAAGTAGATATTGCGAAGCGTCGGTGGCAGCGCCGTGAACGGGAGCACCGAGATCGAATTGTTGATGAGACTGAGCATCGTGAGCTGTGGGAGTGACAATAATGGTGTTGGCAGCACACTCAGCGCATTGTTGTCCAATACAATTTGGGTCAATGTGGGCGCCAGCGCCTCGAGCGGCGCGTCCGAGAGGTTGAGTCCCACGAGGAAGAGCCGGCTGAGCTGCGGCCAGCGCCCCAGTGTCTTGTTTTGTGCAAAGCCCAAGTTGCGCAAAAAGAGGTACTGCAAGTTGGGCCACGCATCGGCGATAGCAGTCGGCAGCGATGGCATCGGCATGTTGTAGAGGTAGACCGCGTACAGCGACGGCGGCATCGCGTCGCGGGGGACGTCCCATGCAATTGTCGACGTGGCATCCAGCGCGAGTGCATACACGTTGTCCAAGCTTCGCATCGTCGCAGGGGCAAGGCCGCGGGGCAGCGGGCACTGCAGAATGCTCAAATCAAAGACGTGGCGGAGATGCGAGCGAATAAACAAGTCGACGTCGCCGACGCCTTGGTGCTTGCAGTTGAGCGTAAACATGATGCAAGTGCACTCGAGAGCAAACCATGGGTACGTCTGCAGCTTGCACCCAGTAGGGCAGGGCGACCGGTACAGGCTCGTAATCGCAACAGCCGTGAGAACAGCGCTGGTCGAGACCGCGACGCACCAAAACACCTTGTAGCTGCGCTGCACGAGCCGGGTCCGCAACTCGATGCGCGCGGTGATTTCAAGGCCTTGCTCCAAGCTCGTGCGATGCTGCATGTAGTGTCTAATGGACATTATTGTCATTCTACAAGGATAGACAATATATGTACCCTTTCATCACGCGGATGCCATGGTTGAGCGTCACGAGGGAAAAGTAGCTCGTCACAAAGAAGAAACTCGACGCAAAGACATCAAAGAACGACGTCATCGCAACAAAGCGCCCGAGCATGAGGCTCTGATTGAGCCAAACATGGTTTTGCACCACGTACTTGTTTCCCGCCAAATAATATTCTTGGAGCGCCGGAAAAATGAGGCAGAGCGGAATACCCGTGCTCAGCGTAAAATCCACGACCGCCTCGAAAATCGCCGGCGTCCAGCGACGCGCATGAGGTGACGGGAGGCGCAAAAGCACCGGCAGTACACTGCAGCGCAGCCCGAGCACGAGCGTGCAAGCAAACGCCGACATGGGGGTCGTCAAAAGCTGGGACATTTGGTACGCGCGGAAGATCTGCATGGGCAGCTGCAGCACGAGCTTGCTCGCGAGACGGACGCTGTAGAGCGGGCCGTAGAGCCCAAAGGGCCCATAGCGACCAAACGCGAGGCGGTACCATCGGTGGCGCCAGATACAACAACTCCGTTCTGTGCGGTGGTATCGCGGCGCAAAGACGAGCACGATGCCGTGCACGTGCAGGATCCAGAGCGTCATCGACGTGCCAAGGGAGAGCCGACGGCTGTAGACGTGGAAGATACACATCTCGCTGGGCGGCAGTACCCAGTAGACGATGAACATTGCCGTCAAGTAAAAGACCGAAAGCATGTGGAGCAATACGACGCAGAGCAGCACAGACGCGCGCTGTGACGTGCTGAAGAGATATCGCGGCGGCTCATACCGCCGGTGCAAGTCGGTGGCGCATGGACCTGGTGCCACGGCTACCATGAGTAGACAGTGCACACCAAAAATAGGCAACACGGTCATCCGTTTCTGGTCTTGGGGTCTGGATGAACATGGGTCGTTGCCTACGCGCATATGGCGAAGTAGAATGCACTGGAGGCGACCGGGGTCATGGCGAATCCTAGAGCATATCTTTGGCCATGCTGAAGGTACTGCTGACCTGTGGACCGGTACCGAATAGCAAGACGCCAACCCCACCGACTCCCATCGCAAACGCGGTGGTCCCATGAAAAAACAGCGTATGGTGGACGACACAGTGTATGCAAACAGAAGTTGAATATATAGACGATTCGACGTTTCGATGCGAGACAGTGTACAAACTGTGCTCTGTTGACACCTGCCAGTACTGACATCACAATGAAAGGACCCCGCATAAGTACAAAACGCTACGTGTTGATAGAGACAGAGGACAGCAGGTGACGATTACATCGTGTTCATCTTGAGGTCGAGCTTGAAGAAGGCAATGACGAGCGCGAGGAAGGTAAGGATACCACCGACAAGCACTGGGAGGGCATAGCCCATGTCCGACTTGACAAGGAGACTTGAGAACGCAAAGTTGAGGAATTGGCCGAGGCAGTTGGCCGAATTGAACGCGCCGGCAAAGAGACCGAGGTTGTTTTCGGCTTCGTGCCCGACAATGTGCATAATCGTCGGGATCTGCAGCGTGTTGATCGTGTTTTGCGTGATCCCGCAGAGAATGACAATGATAATGTCAACGGGAATGTTCTTGCAGAAGGCCATGAGAATCAAGAGCACTTGCGGCACCGTGCCGTACGTGATGACGTTCTTGGCACCAAACTTGCGCACGAGGTACGGCAGCACCGCGAGCCAGAGAAGACTGCCGCAGTTGTAGACGGTGTCGGTCGTGCCACTTGCAATCTGGACACCGTCGTTGAAGTCGATCTGGCGCTGGTTGCACTCGTCGCCGCACTTGTCCGCACCGGTCGAGATACCGTTCTTGACGACGAGGCCAAAGAACTGGCCCTTCGCGCCGTTGTAGGCCGTGTAGCCGTACTGCATGAGCACAAAGCAGATCGCGTAGACAGCAAGCGTGTACGGCAGCAAGCGAATACCAGTCCAGACGGCCACGAACGCCGCCTTGATCTCGGTGCCCTTCTTGCGAGCCACGACCGGCACGTGCGGCGTCTCCTTGACAAAGATCACAACCGCCATCGTCGTCACGAGCATGATCACGATGAGCATCGTCATGAACGATTTGATCGTCTTGTGCGCCGCGCCAAAGAAGAGGATGTAGCCCGAGACTGCGAAGGAGCCGGCAATCGAGTAGGCGCCGCCGATCGAGGCAGCCGTGACCTGGCGGTCGCCGGCAAAGTCGGCCATGATGAGGTTGACAGGCACTTGGGTCAAGTTGCACGTAATGTCCATCCAAATGTAGCAAATGACCGTGAAGAACGTCGTCCACTTGCGGTCGATGAGGTCCTCGGTCTTGTCGGCGACGTACTTGTTGATCATGGTCGTGTTGGTGTCACCGAGCGCCTCGCCAATGTCGACCGTGTGCATCATGACGAGCCAGCAGAGCGCGCTCGTGATCGCACCCCAGAAAATGTACGGGCGGCGACGACCGTACTTGGACGTGCTCGCATCCGAGAGGACGCCGACCGTCGGTGCAACGAGGAGACCGGTCGTGGGCCCGACAAGTTGGACGACCTGGACCCACGACGACGAGAGGAGGATCTGGAGGAGCGGGCCGAGGGCGGCCCATTGTGCGGCCCAGGCCATGTTCATGGCCATCTTGGGCGCGCAAAGGATGAGCATGAACGGGATGGAGCAGCCTTGGACGGGCTTGTCGACAGAGGGCTCGTCGTCAAGGCCCTTGTCGATGGGAGTGGCGACCGCTTCGTAGTCTTTGCCGTCTTCGAGACCCATGGTTGCTGGAGGTGAGGCAAAATGGAAAGTACGAGAGAGGACTGCCCTCAAGAACCACGACAGCCCCTTGCTGCCAAGGTTCAAGTTGAAGCTCGCGTGCGGTGACACGACACATCAAGCCCTTTGCAGAGATGCTAGGATTGTAAGTGGACTAAACAGAAACCAGCCACTGGAAATAGACACCCTTCCACTGTTTGCTACCCGCGGAACAGGCTAGTTCAACTCCTCAGAAACTCGAGGATGTTCACTTGGTACTTGCGCAGAAGGCTAGAGTGGGAACCTACGCTGACTTGGCGCTCGAGTCGTTAGAAGCGAGACCTATGGGACGCGCGGCAGTGCCTGGGGCCAGTGGCAGACGACAAATTTGATAACGTTTGCGCCAAGACCAGCACGTGAGCGCTCATTGAAGTTTGCCGTCGCACCTGGCCGCATGGGTTTGACCACCTTGAAGGTCGGTCGTCGGAATTGGGACTCTGCGCCCCAAAGCTTATGCCTTTGGGTGCGGTAGCATCATCCGTTCGTCGTGGATTATGCTAGGCCGCACCCGATAGGGCGACGTCGCAGTTCCTTACCCGTTCGTGCGTCGGCGTCTCAACAACGTAGCAGTAGCAAACATCGCCAGGTGGACTTGAGCCAGCAAGTGTGGCTTCAATCCCAGCGGTGCAAGAGACCTGATATCCCAGGGACGTGGCATCCTCCGGTGTTCAACTCTTTTTCGTAGCGTGAACACGTCAAAGGCCTCAGACAGGCCACACCATGCGGTGCCAGAGGTGCACGTTTTGGCTGTCGACGGAAAACAGCTGGTTTGTACGGTGGACAGCGATGCTCTGTGTTCGTAGCACCTGGGAGAAGCCATGACGTATCGACTTGCTTTTGACCTCTGACGTGATGTCTTTTGGCGTTATCAGCACCGCGGAAGCTTGACGACGACGCGGCTACCTCGCGCTCAGCTCAAACATGCCCACGGGCACACATGTGGGCGACAGCGTGCCACTCTCATCGCGGCTTCTTCTACGTCTTCAATGGATTATTTGCTGGTCGTTGCTTTTGTGAAGGGTCGTCCAACGCTCTGGAAGGATGTGCTTGCGAAATAGAAACCCGCACCAATGGGTGCGCCCTTCTTTTTTGCTCGCTGCGGCGTCTGACGTTTGTGCGTCGACCGCGCGGTCGCCGATTGCGCTGGTCGCAGCCACTAGGTGCAAAGACGGGATGTTGAAGTCGCAGCCATCGTCATCAGCCGTGTACTATCACTGTGCAAGGATCGCATGTCTCGGATTCAATGCAAAGGTGCGGACGGGTGCGCGATGGTGATGTCCGTGGATCGCTTGCTCATTCTTCTAGCTTGCTTTTCCCTTTTCCATCGAGAGGTAGCAGCATCGACCGCGCGCATAGCCGCACAAGCAGTCCTACCATGAAACAAGCGACTCGGACATTGTTGGAGGGCCAATAACTGGGCTCGGCGCGCAAAGCGTTTCAACCGGCCGCGTTTCATATCTGTGTTTGCCGAATGATTGCCCCCGCGCCACCGGTCGCGTTCGTGCCATCGGAGGCAGCATCGCGGACGTCGTGGGTTCTCTACTGCGGCTATGTGCTACTGACGGCGCTCAGCGGTTGGTACTATCTCCTGCTTGTGCGTCCGAGTCTCGCCAACGACCTTTTGTGGGCCGGCTTTTCGACGTCGGGCGCGCAGACGTTCCTCGGGGACCTCTTTCAGCGCCTCTTGCAGCAGAGCAGCACGGCATCGAGCTCGCTCTTTGATCCGACTTTGAGTGTGCGCAAATCCTACGACGCTGCACCCACGTTTATCGACACGACGGTGTCACTCGCGCGCACCGTGCTCTATTCGCCGCTGTCGCTCGAGACGGCGCTGCCTGTCCTTCGCGCGACGCGCTTTGATTGGATGCTGCGCATGTACTCGCAGTACTGCTACGTCGACTTGGCTCGGATTTACGCTGTCTCGACAACGATGGCACGCCAAGAACGGTGCGATTCCAAGTACAAGAGCAACGCCGCGGTCTACTGGGAGCCGCTGTGGCGCAACGCCGTGCCACGCGACGTGCTTGACGGCGCGTATGCTACGGCGCTCGATGTTGCGATCTTTGCAGCGCTCAACACGTCGGAGAATGCCTGGTGGCAGTCGCTCTGGGCGCGCCCTCTTTTGTCGCCGAAGGACGAAGTCGCCTTGTGGCAATCACATGGCTTGACCTACTGGCAGACCCAAGTCAACAACTACTACGAGGTCGGGCTCACCGAGACGATCGAGGTCGTCAATGCCCTCGGCATTGTCCAAGTTGTGACGATCCACCAAGTGGCGAGGCACTTTCGCGGCTTGGCGCTCTGGACAATGACCAACTCGTACAACGGCATCTGGAACGACCTCTGGGAGTGCCTCGCCATCAACTGCAGCCTCGTGCGTGGAGCGAGCGCCTATTCCGACGACGTCAAATTGCACTGGGAAACCGTCGAGTACGGTATCGCGAATGACACACCACTGCAAGTGGCCATTCGCTCGTACATGGGGCCCTTTGGCAGCATAGATATCACGCTTCTTCCCAAGCCAAAGGCACTTGCAGAGTGTTTGGCGCAGTACATGGCAAATTGGGTAGGACGTATTGTCCACAACACATCGCTCGCAGCCTCATTTGCCGAGTGGCCTTCTCCACGCGTGTCGCTGCTGCCAACCCCGTGGCGGGCACCCGGGCTCTCCTACTTTGGTGGCAACCCCATGTGCCTTGGTAATGCTCCACTGCCCTTTGCGCAAGACCAACTGGGCTTGTACGACTCGTGCTCTGCGCCGACACCATTTTCCATGGTCTTGGGCGCTGACGCCTTGCTCTTTGCCTCGGTGATGTTTGGACCGACTGCTGACGCGAATGGTATCTGCGCTCACTGTGACGGCGCTGCGAGTCGCGATATATGCCTCTCGGTGCTGACGAACGTCGCGTCCTGGCTGGACACCTCGGGCCTCCCCACAGCGTTTGCCAATACCACGGCAACCGACAACGCGATCCAGCGCCTTCATTTGACGCTGGTGCAGTTTGCGTGGAATGGGTCCGACGTCCGCTTCTTGACACAGCCTTGGGTAGAGTCCGGCCCCTGGCGATTCTTTGGGTACCTAGCCCTCTTCGATTGGATGCGAGGCGACCGAGAAGGCTATCAGTACGACAGTGACAACGGGTCGTTTGCGCTCTTGTCGCCATCGGTGCCGCCGACGCCGCTGGCAGCGAATCCCCTCGAGCTTCCCCAGCACGTAGCGTTGTACGTCTGGTACGTCCTTCTCTATGTGACAAGCGTCCTCTCGGTCCTTGCACTTGCCGTGCTACTGGCATCAACGAAATCCAAGCGGCCGCGCCAGCTCCTGCACTTCAACCGCGTGGCGGGTCTGGTCTGGATCGGCCGCCCGATGTTGCTTCTGCGCAGCGCCACCGCGCTTGCGATATTGAGTACGTCGCCAATGACGTTTGAAACGCGCGCGGGCGTCTCCCGCTTTGTCTTTACCCCGCGCTCGGTGCTCGAGACCATGGTCTTGTCGGGCGAGGCAACGTGGGCCACCTATGTGCTCGTCGACGTTCTCTTGCCATTGACAAAGCGGGCGGCGCCGACGTATGCGCCCCTCAGCAGCCTCGCGGCGTGGCTGCTCCTCGTCTTCTGGGACGTCTTGGCTCCGTTTCAAGCCACTTTGCACATTGCCCAGAAGTGCGATATTTTGGAACTCGGCTTGTCGGCCACATGCACCGGTGGCCGCATCGAAGTGGGAAGCGCGACCCGCTTCTATGACCTCTTGGCAGCCAACGTCCTCGCCGTGCTCTTGCCGGCGCTGTGGATGCATACGACCAATGACGACCCTCGGAGCGAGCCTGGTCCGCTCGTGGCTGCGTCCGCCGATGCGTTCGTTCATGGTACCGCCGGGCACTTGGATCCTGTGGGTGCGATCATGTCGGGACTGCTTCCGCTTCGGCGCGGCTTTGTCGACATGAGTCTCTGGCTCCGCGTTGGCTTCCATGCTGGGCCGCGATTGCAGACGAAGCTGACGACCCGGCATCTTCCACTCAAGGTGCCACATCGCCTTGTGCTCAAAGCCAGTGCTGGGTTCCTCTACGTTGTGTTTTCCGTCGTCGGCAGCTGCAGCTACATTTACGTCTCCGAGACCGCGCTCGCCAACGATCTCTGGTGGGCGGGCTTCAACGCGACGGGGCACCAGACGCTGCTCGCAAACTGGTTTGTCCAACAGCTTCAAGTGACCAATTCGGTCGCGGGCGTCGACCTCACGGAGAGTCGATACCGCGACAACGCCAACCGCTACAACCTCACGGATACAACAACCGTAGTCTCCAACTTGTACGCCAGCATGCTCCAAAGCGAAGTCAACAGCCTGCCGGCTGTCGTGCGGGGTCTTCGCCACATGGAGAGCAGTGACGCGCCGTGGATCGCAACAAGCTACTGCTTTCTTGACCTCAGCCGGTCGTGGACCATGGCCGTCTCGTCGACGCGCCAGGCGCAGTGCAATGCCTCGAATGGCGCTGTCTACTTCGAGCCGCTACTGCGCAATGTGGCCTTCTCGCACGCGTGGTGGTATCCCGGCTTTGTCATCGGGATCGAAGCGCACCTTTTGACGAGTGCATCCGGTCGCGACTGGCTCGCAACGCTCGGCGCACCGCGCCTTTCAATCGACGGTGAAGTGAGCTATTGGCGCCAGCACGGCGTTCGAGCGTACGAGACTCAGTGGCAAAACTACAAGCAACTCGGTGTGTTTGAATCGTTTGCGATCGCAACGGCGCTGAACTCGCGCTATGCCATCTCGCTGCGTGCGTCGAACGCGTCCCTCCACACGGCCAAGCAAACGTCCTTCAAAATGCAGTGGCCGCTCGCGAGCTACCTCTGGGCGGTGACGGCCAACGTCTCGGGCATTGGAGGCTCGAGTCTTCTACGAGAGAGTGCGATGTTTGCCTTTGGCAACACAACCATCGCGTCCGTGCTCACGCGCAATTTGACGCTCGTGGCGCCACTCGACCCGGCGCTGGCAGCCCTGGAAGCCGCGGTGGGGCCCTTTGGCACCATTGATTTGCGCCGAGTCGCCTTTCCAATCGCGCTGCAAACGTGGTATGTGGAGGTTCGAGCAGCCATCGTGACGAGCCTCGCCACCGCCAGCGTTGACGCACGTACCGCATTTGCTCAGATTGCCCCGTCGGTCTCGCTCTTCCCGCGACCGACCGAGTGGGCGACTTTGGAGTCTGTCGGCGGCGACCTCATGTGCCAAAGGCAGAGCACATCGGCGACGTTCGTGCTGCAGTTCTTCTCCAACGCCGGTGTCTGTTCGAGCAACAACCAAGACTCGATCGTCTTTGATGCGATAAGCGCGACGCAATCGCTGGTCTCCACCGACAAACTCAACGCGACGGCCGCGTGCGACCATATGTGGGGGTCATCGTCTGCGTGTTTGAGCCTCCTTGTCTCGACTACGCAGCTGCTACAAGTGCTACTACTGCCACACAACGAGACACTCCAGTCCTTGGTCACCGCGGTCTACGATGACGACACGGTGCAGCAATTGCGCCTCGTCCAGTACATGCAAGACGCCAATAGCTCTTCGATCCTGCTCCAGCAATCCCCGCTGTTTCCAGAGCACGACCCTTCCTTCCACGTGTTTGGGTTCCTCTACCTCCTCGAATGGCTGCGTGGCGTACGCGAAGTCGTGTCGTTTGAGGGCAGCCACGGCCGAATCGTCACGCTCTCGGCCGGGAATCCCGTGCTTGTCGGGCCCGTCAACGCGCTCGAAGTGCCCACAAACGTTGCAAAATACGCGCGCTACGTCCTCTTGTACGTCACCAGCGTCCTCGTGCTCGTGGCGCTTCTCACGGGCGGGCATGTGCTCTGGAGCCGCGGCTGCGTCCACGGCTTCAACCTCTTTGCCATCAACCGCGTCACCGGTCTTGTCTGGATCGGCCGGCCGCTGCTGCTCTTGCGCAGCGTCTCGGCGCTCTGCCTCCTCTCGACGGCGCGGCTCGACGTTGAGAGTGATCATCTCGGGTTCTACTTTTTTCGCGCTTTGCAGCCGAGCTGGCCCGCGACGATCATGGCTGGCGGCGAAGCCACGTGGGTCGTCTTCCTCCTCAACGACCTAGCGTCGCTCTACACGCGCGAGTACACGCCACTGTATGCTGGTCCGAGCAGCCTCCTCGTGTGGGCGAGCGTCGCGGTATGGAGCCTCGTATCGCCCGTGACGCACGCCGCTGCGATCGACCGCCGCTGCGACGTACCCGCCGTCGACGCGCAGCTCGTGTGCGAAAGCGGTGTCGTCGCGATCGGCAGTGCAGCGCGGTTTTTCGGGCTCTTTGGGGTCACGAATGGCCTCATTCTTGGCACGTATCTGCTCCAGCGTATGCGGTGTCGGGAGGTGCCACCGCCATCGATCCAGTCGCAGCTGCTCTATGCGTCGGCCCACTACCACTTTAACGCCGCCCAATGGCTCGAAGGCGACATCTACTACCTCGACTCGGCGTCGGCCACGATCGCGGGCCTCCTCAGTGTGCGCTATCGCGACGCGCTCTATGTGCTCGATATTAAAAAGTGGCGCCTCCACGTGCTTCCACCACCGACCTGCACCGACCACCGCGCGCGTGCACTGCCCTTGCCGCTTGCAGACACCTAGGATACCCTCACCTGAGATAACTTTAAATGCTTTGTTGTTTATTTTTTTCAAATCCCCAACCCTACCCTACCCCTGGTGATCGGCGCTGGCGGCGGGTCACGTGTGGACGATATAGATTCCTGAATGCGCTTGGCGACGCGCTCTGTTAGCTACTGTACTGCAAGGAGATACATCTTCTTGATTACAGCGTCGCGAGTCGGAGCACCGTAGAGTCTGCGGTCTTGGAGAGAACGTAGTGACGGAGGCGGTGTCACGAACCGGCGCACCGAACGACCGGAGCTGTGCACTTGGTGCAGTCGACACACATGGCAAAGTTGTGTTTTGAAAAGTACTGGAAAACATAGTAGACGACGCTGTTGTCGGAAAGGGTTAGGGAATCTACATGAACGAAAAGGCCGACTTTTCGCCGCTCGGCGTCGCCGCTTGCTGTGCGCGCGGTGAGTTGGCGAGGGTAAAAAGGTCCTTTCCAAAGTCGCTCAGCGACCGGGTAGCGTCTGGCGGCAGTGTGGCCATCAACGGCGGCACGATGGCCGGAGCCGGCGTCGGCTGCATTGGCGGCGAAAAGCTCAAGAGGTTCTACGCGATAAGCGTCAGCCTGTACAGAGCCCACTCGTCTCTAGACCTGTGTCACCATCGGTGGTGGCGTCGCCGCAACAGGCGGCGGTTGGACGGGCGACTGCATTGGCGCCGTCTCGACCGAGAGACCGCCCATGCCAAGTCCGAGAATGTCGACTTCGGCCGATGGGCGGGACGCGCGCGCCGGCGACTGCTTGGGTGCGGCCGCCGAAAGGTCGCCGACATCAATCCCAAGGAGCGTGAGCACTTGCTTGGCCTTGATCGCGACATGCGACTTGCGATCTTGCGTGAGCTACATGCCGCCGTTCGTCCACTGCAGCACAAAAAGAAACCAAACGTACGTGCTGGACGAGCTCAATGTTTTCTTCGAGCCAGTCGCCATAGTGGGAGCAGCCGGGCGCATCAAGCAGCGCTTCCCAGACGCAGAGGCCCTTGAGACGCACCATCCACGAATTGTCCTCGAGTTTGTCGAGGAGGAGCTCGCCGATCGTGTGGATGTCGAGCGTCTTGGCCAAGTCGACAAAGCGCTTGAGGTTTTCCGACGGCGGCGCGCGCGCGAGACCGCCCGGCGGGCACAAGTCGTCAATCAACGTGCGTTCATAGTCGCTAGTACGCGCAGTCGCATCATACGATCGTCATGTGTTACTCAATGTACCCGCTCTTGTCCGAGCTGCCCATGGTCACACCCGGGTTGTACGTGGCACCCCGGTCCATCGCGCGAATGTCAGTTTGCACGTAGTCGTCGTGCTCGGCCAAGGACGACGCCATCTCCTTGTCCATGTTGCGGCGGTCCCACATGTCTCTATACACACAATAATCCATATATGCCCATAGGACAAGATGGGCGGTACATGACGCCCATGCCCTTCTTCTTGATGACATCGAGCTTTTGGCTAAATGCAGTGGACGGCTTGTCTTGCACCGGGAGGCTCGAGGTCGGGAGGCGCGGGCCAGACGACGCAAACGGGGCGGGCGGCGCACTCATGCCACCGACGCCCATACCGACGCCGATGCCCGAGAGACCGCTGCCCTGCATCATCGGGTTGCCAACCGACGGCATCGACCGCGTTGGGCCAAACATCGAGCTCTTGGCACCGACAAGGACTGTCGGGCGGTTGTCCCGGGAGCTGCTCCATCGAATGTTGTTGGGATCTACAATGCCCCATCGTCCACGACCGCACAACGTGAGAAGGAGCAAGACGCACCGTTGGCCTGTGACTCGCGTCGCTCAAAGCCGCCTTTGCCCCAGACACCGGACGCGTTGCCCGAGACCGAAGCCGCGCCGTCACCAATTGAACTCGACGTGCTGGAGCGATGTCCGTACGCCGGCGGAGTCGGCTGGCCATACTGAGGCGGAGTCGGTTGGCCATACTGAGGCGGAGTCGGCTGGCCATACTGAGGCGGAGTCGGCTGGCCATACTGAGGCGGAGTCGGCTGGCCATACTGGGGAGGAGTCGGCTGGCCGTACTGCGGCACAGTAGGAGCACTGGCGTTTGAGGCGCCCCACGTTGTCGTGGTCGCGCCACCGCCAAAGGAAGGTCGCTGCTGCGCCGGTGCCGCACCGTTGTTGCCCCACGTCTGCTGCCCGGAGGACGGGTACGGCTCGCGGTACGGGCTGGCACCTTGGCTCGAATCCCTGTACGGTGCCGGGCGCTGGTCATACTGCCCAGGCGCTTGGTTTCCATATGGGGCCGGCTGACCAGGTGTCGGGTACTGGCTGCCGCCGTAGCTAGGACCATTGCTGTTGCTGCTGTTGCTGCTGTTGCTGTTGCCCCACACAGGCGCGGCTTGTTGACCATACCCCTGCGGCGGACCGCCATACCCTCCGTACTGCGACGATCGGTTGGCACCGTAGCCTGGCTGCGGGCTCTGCGTCATGGGGCTGCCACTCGGGGCCGCGCCGCCGTTCAAGAACGTGAGGATCTCCTGCATATGTTCGGTCAGACCGTGCTCGGTCCTGGGCAAAACGCTGTACCTGGGCAGTCGTTCGAATACGGCGGGTCTTTTCATCGCCAATGGACGGGTCCAATGGGCCATCTACACGAGGTCGCATCGTTTCTCTTGTCGCGTAGAGACGTACTCGCAAGCTGCTGGATGTCTTCTTCGTCTTCGCGGACGACGTTGAGAAAGCCTTGGTTGTTGCACTTGAGGCAATGCTAGCGACCGCGTGAGCCTCTGAGGACGATGTCACGGCACGTACGCTGATGATTTGCAACGCCTTGAGGCGCACGTTCGCGTTGCTCTTGTTCATGCGCCCGAGGAGAAAATCCGCCACCTTCTCGCCCGAGCCGTCGTGGGCGCCCACTTGGCCTACGCAGGCGGCGTAAGCGCGGGCAGTGATGGGCGCGACGTCGCACCGGCGATCTGGTCGAGGAGGTATGTGGGCACCGGGCCCTCATGGATGCTCGTCGCCTCCGAGAGCACTTCACGACTTGCCATGCTGCTGCCGTCTTCACAGAAAATCAACAAATCGAACCGCGAAAGATTCGGCTTTTGGCCGAATTTCATACCCACAGCCTGTTTTCATACAACTGCGTACATTACCGTACAACGTACATCTATACAAACAACAAGCTTAAACGTACAACCGCGTACTTCTCGCACGCAGAGACATAGGCTGCGCACCCCACACGCTTTAATCAGGATTTGACGCCCGAAAGCAGTAAAAACAGGACATTTGAAGGTGGCATCGGGCTGTTATTTTCGGCACCACGCGACCACGAGGCGCGAATGCGGTCATCACCAACACCCATCTGCAACGTCTCTTCGACTCGGTGACGAACAGCACCTGCTGAGAGAGGGTGTGCTCGTCCGGCTGTCTGCTTGGGCGCCAGTTGGTTGCCTGTGGGTCTTATTTTCGGCATCAATATGCCACCTTTAATTTGCATGCCACCTTGAGCAACTTTGCAGTTGAACCCAACCGAAGAAGCGATGGACCCGACGACGTACGTCCGTGAGAGCACCGCCCGGTACGTGCTTGCGCGCCTGCGTGCGATGGCTCATGGATGCGATCAGCGTTGTCGCCGAGGCCGATCACGTCAAGATTAGCCCTGCTGGCATTGCGGCCTTGACCGAGAAGCTGGTGCGACGACATCATCGCGGCCTTGTCACGGCCTCATGGTCTTTTAGGAAGCCGTGTACCTCGGGCAGAAGGACGCGATCCACGACCAGATTGCGTGGGACTTTGGCGACGTCCACTACTTTGACGACGCTGCCCGCAACGGGCCGCTCACGTGCCAATACGTGTTTGTCCTAGACGCGCTCAACTTTTGTTTCTGGCCGACGCCCGAGTACGACCTCTCTCGAATGCGCAGTAGACACATGAGGCTCATCCATGCGCTGTAGCATGGAGTACGAGCACTTGGCGCGGGGTCTCAAGCAGGCGCTGACGGCCGACGCCACGATCTTTGACGCCAACCGCCTCGCGACCGTCGACGCGGCGACCGTCGCCTCGTGGTTTGCGCCGTTTTCGCCGCCGCAGCTCGATGAGCGGGTGCGTCGTGCCGACTCTTCTTTCGAGATGCCGACGTTCTCCTGCAGGTGCGCAAGGTCCGCGAACTCGGTGCTGGTCTCGCCCGCTTCTTTGATGGCAAGGCCATCAACCTCATTCGGCAAGCGCAATACTCGGCCGTCGAAGTGCTGCTCCTCGTTTTGGCGCATTTCCCGGGTACCGTCCTGCCTGTCCATGACGCGGTGCGATGACTCGGCGCAGGCTTCCGGGACCACGCTGTCTACAAGGGCAGCCAAGTGTTTCTCTACAAGCGCGTCCAGATCCTCGTCGGCGATGTCTGGGCCGCGTACGGTCGCCGTGTGGTCGTCCAGAACGACCCGTCGACGCACACTATTTGCGGTTTTTACGACATTGAGCGCTTGACGATGTTTGGTACACCGTCTTTGGTGTAATACTCTGCAGTCGAAACTAACGTGCGAGCGTAGCCGACTACCGCGTGCCCCAAGTGCTGCGCCCCGAAGGTGTTTTGGAGTACACGCCGGCGCTCGAAGCCATCATCCAGGCCAAGCAGCAGATCCCCTTTGGCTCGCACGTAAGCTCGTCAAGGTCCTCGGCCGCCCCACCCAAACTCAAATAGATGGAAATTGAAATTCGCGCGTGCACGATCCAAGCCGTCGAGATGCTCCACGCGGCGCTCGTAGCCAAGGGCCACCGCATCAAGGTCATTGAGCTCGACTGGCTTCTCTGGCAGATTGGCGAGAACGCCAAGGAAGCGCTGCCCTTCCACCACCGCACGCTCAGTGTCTTTTACTGAGGTCATCGCCACCTCGACCGATATCATTTCGCACAGCCAACGTCAAATGTTGATTACCCTACCCCTATTGCATTTGCGAGCTGTAGCGTCGAGGTATGCGGACAGCATGGGCCTTAGGCCAGTCGAACGTATACGCCCGCAACGGCGTCCGTGGCCGCGTGCGGTGCATCGATCGCTGCCGTGCGCGAGCTTGGCATTTTGCCGCCGCACCTTGAACGAGGGAGCAGCCTCGGTCTCGTGGAGGACAAAGGTCGTCGACGTAGCCCGAGAGTGTCGTAGAGAAGCACGATCGCAGCCCGTACATAAAAGCCGAGTCCTGGCCAAGGCTCCACTCGGGTCGGTTCTTTCCGCGTCAAGCCCACGTCAAGGGCCAAGAACCCATGTTGAGGCATAAGCTTCATTAGTTGGCCAAACGCATTGCGATCGGCGGGATTGGTCGAGCCGTTGTTGTGGGAACCTGCCTGCATCGCCCACACGACAGCATATTCCACATGTCATCTCGCCAAAATACATGATTCAACAGCACAAAACATTCATATTTTAGCTATGCCTCCAAGAGCGGATCGTCGGCCGTGGGCGTCGATTCCTTCTTCTCCAACAATTCGAACGTATCGTCCACAAGGACCGTCACGAGCGACGGTGACGGCGGCGCAATCGACACCGGAAAGCCGGTCCAGATGTTGCCGCCCGAGAGCCGCTCGCCCTTCATGACGACGCTGTTGCACGCGAGCGTCGTGTCGTCGCCCATCGATGCGTCGGGAAAGAGCGTCGAAAACATGCGCATGGTCGACCGATGGCCGAGCGTCGTGGGGCCAATCTTCATGATCCGGTCTTCAAACAAGTGGGTTTGCGGAAAGCTGCTCTCGTTGATGGCTACGTCGTCGCCAAACCGGAGCATATCAAACTCGGGAATGTCGACCGAGCCCAGAAAGCAGCGGGCGCCAATGGTCGCGCCAAACGCTTGGTAAATCCACGGCAGCAACGGCGTGCCGACAAGCGGCAGTAGCACAAACACACTGAGATGCTCGAGGACGCCCGTGATAAACTCGGTCGACCAGACGCCAAAGCAGTACATGGGGAGGAGCGCCGCTTCGTACCGGCCAATGATGCTCCACTTGAGGGCGAGCAAGATCGACACGCTTGGCAGCACGATGCAACCAATGTAGTAGAACGGCGACGCCAAAAGTAGATACAAGACGTTGGCCAGCGACCCACCGTCGTCCGAGTGGAGAGGGTACTGCTGCAACAAGAGCTGCGTCGATGTGCCAATACCAAGGCAGACTAGCGCCGGCGGAAACCACACGCGGAGAGTCTCGACGACGAGGCGGCCAAAGCGGCGCATTCGCGACGGGTGGTACAAGAGCGCCGCGTCAAACGAGTCGGTCGTTGTCCGAGACGGCATTAGGATCGGCGGCAGCCCAAAGCAGCTCTGGCCCGCTTCAAGGTCGGGCAAGGGCAGTGAGAAGGCGCCGACAAGTGAATCGGACGGCACGATCGAGCCTTGCGGAATCACCGAGTCGTTGCCGACAAACGCTCGATCATGAACGATGGTCGCGGCCAGCGTCATGGTGTAGCCCCGCGTCTCGTCGTCGCCGAGGAGGACGTTGTCCGCGATGAAGCACTCGCGGCCAATGTAAACGAGGTCCGGTGTCATGTGGCGCGCGGTGGAGATTTCCGTCCGCGCACCGACCGACGCGCCCAGCAGCCGCAAGAGCAGCGACGCGTACACTGTCGCATACAGTGTATGAATCGTGTCAAGCGAGAGGTCCATGAGGCCGTCGACAAACCATTTGCGGACGCCAAACCACGAGTACGTGTGGTAGGTGCCCGGCTGCACCTTGCCGAGCAAGAGCCATTTGGTCACAACCAAGAGCGCCGTGACCGTGCATACGTACCCGACACCGACGAGACCTGCAAGCCCGAGCATCTGCGCTACGATCGGCGTATCCTCTGGGAAGAACGGGACGTTGAAGAGGTACAAGACGGGCGCCAGCGGCAGCGTGTTCATGGCCGGAAGCAGAAACCCAAACGCCAACAAATGGCCGCTGCGCACCACAAATGTGCGGACCGGCGACGGAATGTCCGAGAGCGTCCAGTCGTCGGCGGTACCGATAACAGTTGCGGGCGACCCGGCGACGATCTGCCGCGCTGGCACAACGGTGCCCGTGACGACACCCGCCATGCTCTCGACGACCGCGCCATCTTCGATGAGCACGTTGGCTTCAATCGTCACCGACGTGCCAACGACAGCGTTGGCGCCGATGCGAATGGGGCCGAGGTGCAGCACGCCATTGTCGACGTACTCGGCGCTCAAGAGCACCTGCTTCCCGAGCGTCGCGTGGTCCCCAATGTAGAGCAAGTCACAAGCCACGAGATTGAGCACATCGAGATGCACGTGGTGGCCAATGTGCGCGCCGAGACAGCGGTACCACAGCGCAAGCCAGTACGTGTCGCCAAGGAGCCGGAGGTCCGCGAGCTTGATGAGGCGGCCGACAAACCACCAGCGCACGTAAAAGCTGCCCCACACCGGGTACGCACCCGGCGCCACGCGGCCCAAGAGCGTCCACTTGGCCACGACCACCGAGAGCAAAACGATCCACGGTGCAAGTGCATACGCGGCGTAGAGACTCAGCATCGAGACGCCAAAGCGCTGCGTGGTTGCATAGTAGTAGTCGGATACGACGAACGGCCCCAAGATGGTCAGCGCGTAGTAAAAGTAGAGCACAACCAAGAGCGGTAGCTGAACGAGGCCGCAGAGCGTGTGGCGCCACACCGGCACAACGCGAAACGCGGGGCGGTCCGAGACCACGTCGGGCACCGCGCACGCCATTGGGTACTTGGCGGCGATCGCATCCGGTGTCCGCAGCGTGTAGAGGTCCACGAGACCGACGGACGCGAGCGGATTGAGCAGCAGCGACGGATGGCCACCGCGGAGGGCGCTCACGAGCTGCGCCACGAGCATCGAGTGGGCGCCAAGGTCCGTAAAAAGGTCCGAAGAAGCGTCGACGGCAACGTCAGGAAAGGCCGCGCGCCACACGTGTAGCACAAACTCGAGCGACGTTGGAAACGACATAGGGCCCGACGACATGGGTGCTGCATCGACTTGTCGGCGTTGGCGAGAGAGCACTTGGAGCTGCTTCTTGTCGATCTTGCCGCTGAGCAGCCGCGGCATCTCTCCGGATGCGAGGGCCACAAAGGCGTCGGGTATCATGTAGGCCATGAGCGACGTACGCGTCAAGCGTGCGCGGAGACTGCTCACGGCGCTCGCCTCGCGCAAGACGACGTAGGCCTCCAAGCGCTGCGGCTCATCTTTGGTGAGAATGACGGCGGCCGCGGCGACACCGTCGAGTGCGCTCAGCTTGTCCTCGATTTCACCGAGTTCGATGCGGAAGCCGCGGTATTTGACTTGCGTGTCGATACGCCCGAGAAACACAATGTCGCCGGCGCCGTCGATCGTGACGAGGTCGCCCGTCCGGTACAACCGCTCGTTGGGCACGACGGGGTGCGCAATAAACTTTTCCCGCGTGAGCTCGGGGAGACCGACGTAGCCGTCGCCGACGCACGGCCCGCCGATCGCGAGCTCCCCGGTCGCGCCTTCATTCAGTGCGAGGAGCTCGATCGTTGGTGCCAGTGTGGTGTTTTCATCGGGCAGCGCAAGCAAGGCTGCGTGGTACCCCGGCAGCGGCTTGCCAATCGTCACAACCTGGTGCGGGATTAGCGGCGTGTACGTGCACGTGACGGTCGTCTCGGTCGGCCCGTACGTGTTGAAGATGGCGAGGCCGTCGCGGTGCAACTTGGTCACGAGAGACGCGGGACACGCTTCGCCACCCACGTTCTACACACACATAACCATTGAGTCCTCGCGGGGCTCACAAAGATGGGCGCATTACGACTAGGCGCACGAGCGGTGGCAGCGACGCTTCGCTGCAGACCATGGCCATGAGCGTCGGCACGGCTGTGATGACGCTGACGCGGCGCTGGTGCCAAACATCGACAAGACGACCAATGTCCTACAGCAACAAAGCTTCGTATAGAAAGGCCAGCCAAAAGATTAGATGCACCTTCCACTGTCCGGGGAGCGCGATCGCGAGCTCGCATCCGCGCGCAAACCCGCACCACGTCTCCTCGACCCACATGTCAAAGGCAGGTGAGAATCCATTCCAGACGATATCGGTTGCGCGCAGGCCGAGCACGGACGACTCCGAATACGCAAAGAGCGTCGCGGCTTGGTGTGAGATCGAAATGCCTTTCGGTGTGCCTGTCGTGCCGCTGGTGTAGATGAAGTACGCTGGTGTCGACGGCGTCGGCGGGTGCGACAGCGCGGTTGTCGGCGCGCTCGTCGCTAGCGTCGACAGATTGGTGTAGCGAAGGCGCGTGCACGACGCCGGCACGTCCGCCGCCGAGACCATGGATGCGTGGCGATCGTCCATGAGGAGGACGGCGGCGTTCGCGTTCTCGAGGCACAGCCGCACGCGCTCTACGGGCGCGTCCGGGTCGAACGGAAGCCACGTGGCGCCCGCAAACGTCGTCGCGAGGATCGCGAGCGTGAGCTCGAGGCTCTTGTCGAGCCAGACACCGACGACAAACGGCGTCTCGCGGTGGTAGCCATCGAGCACATGCGCCATGCGTGTCGCCGACGCTAGCGCCTGCGCATACGTCAATGATACAACTGCGTCCGAGTCGACCGACGCAGCGATGCTGAGCGCAATCGCATTCGGGTGGCACTGCGCTGTGTGTGCAAAGAGGCGTGGCAGCGTCCACGTCTCAATCGGCGCGCGGAGCTCCGTGGCCGCATGCAGCAGCCGGACGTCACGTTGAGCCAGCTGTGGCATGGGGCGACCAAGTCCAAATGGCAAGTCCGTGGTCGTTCTTTGCACCTCGCCTTTCCGTTCCGACTCAGATGGAACTCGACGAGATTGCACTGTCACGTTTCCCGTAGACTACGGTGTCCATACAAATGTCAAGTGTATTTGCAAGCACTAGGTCGCAAATTCAAGCGTACGTAGGCAACTGTATCGACATCGTCTACGGTGCCCACTCAAGATCCGGCGCGCACCCGCGTAATGCTCCTCGCGGTCTTCGCAGCATGTGCGACCTTGCACGTTACAACTGCCATTCGTCCTGGACAACAAGCGTAGGAAGCAGCCGCGTCGAGCGAGATGGAGCCTTTGGTCGAGCACATTTGGCATCGAAAATAGGTGACCGAATCTTCGCAGTCGGCAGCCAGAAGCGTGGTGGGTGCACTGAGTGCTGTCACGATGTGCGATGGACCGTCGCGCAATGGACGTCTTTACACATTACTACTTGGTACTGTAGTACAGCCAGAGCTCCTCGTACCCACCGCTCCAGTGAAAAGTGACATGGGACCAAGGCAACAACTTCCCCTTGGATGAGACCAAAGGAGCATGGTCATTGCAAGAGAGTATAGCTGAGAGTACGTACATAGACTGCACGTAAGATCGGTCCGCATACGCAAGCTCTCG